GGAGTTGTGAAACCGTAAGTGGGATGTAAGTGCTGTCACGATTAACTCCTTAAAACTGACCTTGACAGTTACACTTAAAACTCTTTGATGTCCATCAAGCTGGCAAAGATTAAAGCAGTCTGCCTTCAGTGTTTGGGGCTGAGGGCAAGAGACTTCACTATTCACCTTTTAGATGTTGGCACAGCCTTTCTGAAGGGCCATTTGCAACACGTGCCAAGACCCTGAATACCGTTTGAGGAATTTCACTTTTCAGAATCCCCCCAAAAGAGATAATGAAACATGTGCAAGGCCTTATGAACAAAAATATCAGGTGCTGGGGGGAAAGGGATGGGGAGGGATAAATCAGGAGTTTGGGATGAGCAGGTACAAACTACTATATATAAAATAGACAGCAAGGCCTTACTGTATAGCCCAGGGAGCTGTATTCAATATCCTGTAAAAAAGACGAGGGGAAGGAACGTGAAAATACACATGCATGTGTAACTCAATCACTTTGCTGTATACCAAAAACTAATAGAACATTGTAAGTCAACTATACTTCAGTAAAAATTAAAAATTTTAAAGTCAGGTGCTGAGTTCTTTACATGGAACAAAAATATTGAGCATGTTTATAGCTCATTACAGTATGCCAGGCCCCCCCCCTTTTTTTTTTAAAGCACAGGTCTGTGTTTGTTTGTTTACTTATTTATTTATTTGGGCTGCGCAGGCTCTTTGTTGCAGGCTTGTCTCTAGTTGCAGCACATGGGTTTAGTTGTGCGGCGGCATGTGGGATCTTAGTTCCCCGACCAGGGATCGAACTCGCGTCCCCTGCATTGGAAGGCAGATTCTTAACCAGTGGACCAGCAAGAAAGTCCCTAGGCCCCATTCTAGTGTTAACACGCATTAATGCATTGAGTCTCCACAACAACCCTGTCGTTTCCAACTTAAGGGTGAGGAGACCTACACAAAGGGGGTCAATCTCCCATCCCAAATCACAGGGTAGCCTCACCCTCCCCAGACTCCTGCGCGTCCTGGGCCAACTACTTCCAGGCCATCTCTCTCCTCCAGTGGTCTCTTCTTGCTCTCTGCCCACTCTCCGAGTGATCTCTTCTCTGCCAATCTTCTCTCTTCCCCGCAGTGGACCTTCCCATAGGGCTGCCCAGGTGCAGGTCTGGGGCCATAAAAAGGACTCCATTACTGGCATTCAGCAAACAAGTGCTGAGGAACAGACATACCTGTTGCTGGAAGTCCATTTCCATGGACTTCTCCCTCTCTCCCCTCACAGGGGAGTTGTCTCCCACCGCCACCCCTCACCTCCCTCTGCTCTCCTCCCTTCTCCCACACCCAGCTTCCTGCTCTTTTCACCACCCTAGCCCAGGCAGCCTTCCTGAGCTGCAAGCTGTTCCCCCGGCCACCCCACCCACATCTGCCCTTGGCCTTGCACACCCGCCTTCTCTCCAGCCCCACCAAATAAGGCTACTCCAGGCACCAGCCTCTCTGAAGGGGGTGGGAGAGTAGGAAAGCAATGCAGCTGTACCGAATGCACTTTTACCAGGGCACGAGCACAAAATGTCAAATCCTTCCTGAGCTTGTTACCTGTCTCCTGGTTCTATGGCCTGCAAAAGTATCCGCGTCCCCCCTCCACCAACCCAGCCTGCACCTCCCTTGGGGAATGTCCCCCTCCTGCCATCTCCTTCCCTCCAGGAGGTCTGCATGCGATGGGAGTCAGGCACCCTGACTCACCGGGCCCTCACGTGGGAACAGGTGGTTGGCCGGCTGGGACCGCTACCCCATGGATACCTCCTTGCCTTTTATCCCAGAGGGAGAGAGGCAGGAAGTGAGTGTAGAAGAGAACTGCCATTGGGGGCTCTGTGGGTCCCTCCTTCATCCCAGCCTCCAATCCCCCACTTGACCCTCCACCCTCACGGCAAAGCGTGAGCCTCAGAACCAGATCCTTTTGGGAGAAAAGTTGATTAATCTACTGTTTCCTAGTTGGCAGCATTTCCACGAGGCTCTCGGGGACCACGGTGGATGGATGGTGTGAATCTCACCTCCACAATTTCCCACATGCCCTAGTACTGGGCAAACCTAACTAGGCGGAAGAGACACCACCACCCCCAGCCCAGCAATGCCTGGATCCCAGCAGTAAGAGCCCCCTGCAGCTGGGGCAAAGTGAAGTGAGGCTCAGAGCGTCGGAAACAAGAGCCGCTTCGCTCTGCAGAGGACCATTTGGAGTGGGGCAGGGTTCTGAGCCGCTCCCCCGACCCCTGTCAGCACAAAGTGCCCGGACCCAGGCAGGATGCCGCAGGCCTCCGGACCGAGGACCAGAAGGAAACAAGACAGGAGGGCCGCGCGGGGGAGGGGCGGCTGGAGGCGGGGCGTGGGCGAAGGGAACCGCTAGTCACCCGCGCCGGCTCCCAGGACGCACCGTGAGCCTCCGCTGATCCCGACCTGCGGGGAGTAGTTTCCCCGCCTGCCTCCCCCCCCCCACCTAGTTCTGCCGCCCCTTCCTGAGGCCTACGCCCCTCCTGACTCCCGGGGCGCCCCTGGATCCGAGACCGCCCTGCTCTGGGGCCGCCCCGTCGTCCAGCGATCCGCCGAGCGTTGATTGAGCGCCTGCTGGACAGGCCCTGCTGACCGGCGGTCCGAGCCGCCGCCGAGGGTCCGGGCCAGCAAGGGGGGCGGGGGCGGCGAGCGGGAGGGAAGCCCCGGGGGGACTCAACTCCCAAAGGAAAGGACTCCTGGGACTTCAGTGCGTCTGGCAGCCTCTCGGCCCCTCGCTCCGCGTTCGTTCACTCCCGGCCAAGCGGCTCTCGGGCACACGGGACCCTCCGGGGCGCCTCTTGCCCGCGTGGGCTCCTGGGGGCGCGGCAGCGCGGGCCGCGGCTGCCGACATCCTGGGCGCCGACTTCCGGCACCCTGGGAACCCCCAAAGTGTCACTGGGAGGCGGGCACAGGGTGGAGCCAGCCCCCTGGGTTGCACCACCCACATCGCGGACCCAGATGAGCCCGAGGCCCACAGCTCCCCCTACCCCTCCCTGGACCCTGGCCGTCCCTGATGCCCGATGGCCGGGGCTGGGTGGGTTCCTCGGGCCGACTACCCCCTAGCCCCGTCTCACGCGGTCCTGGCCTCCACTGTCCCTGCCTGGAGGACAGTGGACACCCTCAGGCCTCCTCTCCCTAAGCCCAGTCTCCCATATCCTCTGAGGTATCCCAACCGCTGCCTCCAAAGGGCTGTCCTGGTTATCTTCTGTCCTTGTTCCTCCCAGGGGCTCGGCCCTTCCAGGGCAGAGGCTGTGGCCTCCACTGCCCAGCTCCCAGCAGTGCCTGGCCGGCCCTGCCCCACACCGGGTGGGTGGAGGCATCGGGTTGCGGTGAGCTTCCTCTTCCTTAGAACTCTCCCAGAGGTGCTAACCCTTCCCCGCACACAGCCAGAAGCCCCCTCCCAGGCTCCCATCCCTGGTCAAGGTTCTCCCCCCAGGGCGCGGTGTCCTAGCTGGCTCTGGACCCACAGGGTCTGCCCAGACGTTGCCCAGGAAGGCCTCACCCACCCCCATATCACAGAGTGGCTGTGAGGAAGACGGGAGGTTGCAGACTTCCTGGCCCTGGAAATATCCGGGTGCTCCCCAGGCCTCCAAATGGGGAGGGGGAGGGGGTGCAGGGCCAGCCCCACCCACCCTCCTTCTGCTTTTTCTCCCCAGTGAACTCACTTCCTGTCATCTCAGGCTGACTCTGCCCTCAGGAGCCTAGTGACACAGCCACTCACCAAGCCCAGTGCCTCTTGTTTAGGTTATTGCCAAAGAACTGAACATGTGAACGAGGAGTTGCTGCAGCAATGCCCTGGCCATGCTTCATTCAGTCCCGGGTCACTGCAACATTCCAAGACACACCCCCCAGGAAGTCACTTTCCCTGCACTGGCATCGGGGCCGCTGCCTGCGGCTCTACCTGGAGGGGCCCTTGTCCTGTTCACGGCCAGAGCCCTCATCGGCAGGAGCACATGGCGCCAGGTGCTGATAAACACTCATGGCTCGAATGAATGCGTGTGGCGGAGCCTGCGGGCTGAGTCTCAGGCCAGCCAACTGGCAGGGGCCCTGGTGCGGGCTCCAGAGTGTCACAGGGCCCAGAGGCAGGATGTGGCGGCGGAGCGGTGGAGAAAAGGGGACACGGGGCTCCTGGCTGCCTTGCACTGGACATGATCCGCAAGCAGCCCAGGAGAGTAAGGGTGTTGAGAACCTGAGACAGGCCTGGGTGTTGTTACTTGGCTTCAGCTTTTCAAAGTAACAGCTTTATTGAGATACAATTCACATACCATACAATTCACCCATTAAAAGTGTGAAACTCTGGGGTTTTTAGCGTATTCAGAGTTGAGAACATTTCCACTCCCCAAAAGAGGCTGTGTCACTCCCCATCCCCCTCCCCGCAGCACCTGGCAACTACTAAGCTTTCTGTCCCTACGGTTTGCCTGTTCTAAACAATTTGCATACATGAATCCCGTGAGATATTGTCTTTCATGTCTGCCTTCTTTCACTTGGCATAATGTTTTGAGGTCCATCTTCGTTGTGCCGTGAGTCACAACTTCATTCCTTTGTATGACTGAGCACCACACCCTCCTGTGTCTTCCATCGTATGCACTGACCACATTGTCTGTGCTTCCACAGACGGACATTTGCGGTGCTTCTGCGTTTTGGCTGTTAACAATGATGTTGTGGGAACATCCATGTGCAGGTTTTTGCGTGAACATATGTTTTCACTTCTCTTGAATACACACCTAGCAGTGGAATGAATGAGATCTAATGGTAATTCTCTGTTTAACTTTTTGAGGAACTGCCAGACTCTTTTGCACGCCCGCGGCTGCATCCATTTACATTCCCAGTAGTGTGTGAGGCTCCAATTTCCCCCCATCTTCCCCAACACTCGTTACTTCTCTTTTATACAGTTATCTATGGGGTGTGAAGCAGCATCTTACTGTGGTTTGAGCTGCAGTTCCCTGACAGCAAATGGTGTGAGCATCTTTTTGTGCGCTTGTTGGCCATTTGTAGCAATACATTTTCTTTGAGGAAATGTCTCTTCAGACCCTTTGCCGTGGCCCAGAGTTTCCAGAGAGAAGGACTGAAGAAGCGCCCAGCAGTTGGAGGCAGCAGCGGGTGGGGCACGAGCTGGCGCACCCTGACCCTCCCCCACTCTCGCCGGGCTGGGGCTGCGGGGGCGGGCTCACGGGGGTGTTTCCGGGCTGTGGCTGCTCCAGGCCGGCCGAGGTTTCACTTTTGGATCTGGGAAACTTTGGGTTGTGTGCCAGCTCGGCAGCTCCGGGACAGAGCCCTCTGATCCCAGCCAGCAGAGCGGCCTGGCTTCAGCTCTGTGGGCGCGGGCACGCAACAGTCACGGTCACGGTGAGCTGCTCCCACACCCTGCTCCCCGCCCCTGCGCGCCGCACCCCACTGCCTGCCCTGGTTCCAGGGTGGGGCTCTCCCTAGTGCTGGGTGGGGGGAGGCCAGCTCCTCTGGGTGGAGACCTGGTCCGGGCACCCTTCTGCGGCTTCCCCAAGCCCCCCAAGGACTCGCAATCCCAGACCGGTTTGGGGAAGCCCCAGGCCTCTGGGAAGGGGGTGCCCTCCCCAGCCCGGCTGGTTTGGGCTTAACTCCAGGTAGGCCCTCTAGGTGCTCCTTGGGCCACTCTCAGACTTCAGACCATCCCTGAAGCTCAGAGGCTTCCTAAGGGCTGGCCCCCGTGCCTGGAGCCCAGATGTCCTGGGTCCTGAGTCAGGCCCACATTGGCCTCTGACCCCTGAAGACAGACTAGTGGCTCACGGAGCTTTGGGCGCAGAGAAAGCCCTGGAGGACACGTCTAGGAGCTGGGGACACTTTGGCTGGGCCTTGCTGTAGGCCTTTGCACCAACTGCCCAGGAAGTGACGGCTTCTGTTTCCTCCCCTGCCCTCTGAACACCTCAGCCAGCGGGGGGAGCTGCTACAGCAGACAGAGCAGTGGCTTGGGGTCACTCCAAGGCCCCAGCCTTGCCCTGCCCTTCCTCAGTGGCTGCTTTTCGTGAGCAGCCCTAAGCCTTGTTGAAGTGACAAAGGGACAAGAGGCCTTGGTGGGTGGCCAGGGCTGCCCCCCCGCCCCAAGCGCTGAGTCCCAGGGCTTTCTCGGGCTCCACGTGGGCACTCTGATCACAGAACAGATGGTGTGCGTGGCCTGAGTCCCACTGAGGGCTGTGAATGACGCCCCACCCTGGAGGTGCTCATGGCCCCTTGGAAAGATGGATTAGTGGATGACCGGGTGTGCTTCTGCTTGTTTTTGTGTTGGGTGATAGTCAGCAGCAAGCACCTTCTGCCAGTCAGAGCATCCCAGGACTAGCCAAGCAGGACTGCTTTGGAGGGAAAGAGCTCCCCATCACTGGAGACGTCCAGGTACCTACCTTCCCCCTCTTCCGCCCGCCCTCTTCCAGCCCTGCGGGTGCAAGGCCTGACCCAGCTGCCCTCCTCAGGAGCATGGCATCGGCCTTTGCGAGGGTGGTCAGGAGTGTGGTCCAGGAGCTGGACCACGGTGGGGAGCTCACCCCTGTGGACAGCCTGCAGAGCTCCACCAGCTTCCAGCTCTACTGCCTTTTGGGCAGGAAGTCCTCGAGTTCACGGTTCTGGAAACACCGCTACACACGTGTCAACCTGTCCATCAGGGACATCCTGGAGCCCGACGCCCCAGAGCCAGGTACCCCACTTGGCACTGTCAGAGCCATGGGTCGGGTGGGGGGAGGAGTGGGCAGGCCCGCTGCCACCTGCTCTGGGCCTCTGGGCTCTTGCTTCCAGAGGGCAGGCACTTTTCAGAGGCCCCTCCGCCCGGGGGGAAAGGCGGCGGATGGTGGGATGGGCCTCAGCTCTGGTCTTGCTCCAGCTGTGGAGTGTGGCAACACCTTCCATTTCCACGATGCTATGGATGGGCAGCTGCAGGGCAGCGTGGAGCTGGCGGCCCCAGGACAGGGGAAGCTGGCAGGCAGGGCCGCGGTGTCTGGCAGCTCCAGCGCCTCGATGATCGTGTGCACGCTGCGAGTGGCGCCCAACACCTGGGAAGCCATGCGTCAAGAGAGGTGAGCCCTGGGGTGGCGGGGCCCTGCTGAAACTGGGCAGCCTCTGGGTCAGGACCTCGGGGCAGCAGGAGTCACAGGGGTGTCTCTGCCAGGCTGAGGGAAGTCCCAGAGGCAGGGGCGTGCTGGGACCAGTGGGCAGGGAAGGAGGCTGCAGAGGTCCTGGGGGCCTGCATCCTGTGGGCCAGGGCGGCCAGGCAGGGCCCTAGGGTCAGGGGTCAGACCAAGTCCCACTGCGAGGGGGCTGGGCTGCTGGGGTGGCTGCTGGGGTGGAACAGGGACCCTGGGGAGAAGGACCATTAGCTCAGAGCGGAGACATGAGATTTGAACCCGGGGAGCGGCAGGGAGTGGAGAGAGAGAGCAGCCAGGTGAGCAACCGGCCAACAGGGTGGGCCCCTCCAGAGGTCTTCAGGTGTCCGCCCGTCCCCACTGGACCTTGTCTTTTCTTCCTGCACCCCACCCACTCACAAACATTGTCGGGAGCACCAGGGAGGGAATGATGAGTATCCCGTGCCTGGGCATCCACAGAGCTCTTGGTCTCCTCGGCCGTGTCACCGCCCCCAACCCCTATGGCCACAAAGGCTGAGGTCCAGGGAACGGAAGCCCAACCCGTGGCAGGGGGAGGGGAGCGCAGGGTGCACCGCTGCGAGCTTCCCATTGGTCCGCTCACCACAGGCGCTTGCGGCAGCCTGAGCACCAAGTCCTGCAGCAGCTGCGGAATCGTGGGGATGACGTGTTCGTCGTGACCGAGGTGCTGCAGACACAGCAGGAGGTGGAAGTCACCCGGACCCAAAAGCAGGAGGGCTCCGGCCAGTTTGCACTTCCGGGAACCATGTGCTTGCAGGTGTACGGGGGCTCGGGCTGGGGAGGCAGAGTGGGGTAGACCCCTGCCACCAGCACCCTGTTACGTCTGGCCCCATGACCCAGAGCCCAGTCCTGAGCCCATATCCATCCCTCAGGGCAGAGGCGAGGGCCACCTGAGCCAGAACAAGATGGTCACCATCCCCGCGGGCAGCATCCTCGCATTTCGGGTGGCCCAGCTGGTTATTGGCTCTGACTGGGGTGAGCCAGGATCACGGTGACTTCTGGGGCCCAGACTCCATGGCAGAGAGGCAGAGAGGCCTGGAAGAGCCCCCAGGGGTCACTGGGGGCATCTGGGTCGGGGTGGCCGAGGGTCCCTTGCTCTGGCATTTGGGAGGTTGGGGCACAACGGGGGTACTGCACAGGGGGTCCCAGCTTGGGAGGGAGATGCCAAGTGCCCCGCCAACCTGCTTTCCCACCTCTGCTCCTGTCTGGCTGCCAGACATCCTCTTCTTCCCGGACAAGAAGCAGACGACCTTCAGGCCACAGCAGGAAGGTGAGGCCTGTGGACCTGGGCAATGGGATGAGCTGACGAGGCATTCTCCTGCCCAGCACAGCACAGCCGGGGGACGCACACACACGCGCGCGCACACACACACACACACGGGTGACACGGTGACGGGCTGACACCAGCCTGGCTCGACCTTGCTCCCTGTCCCGGGCTGCCAGTACTGGGGTGGTGGTGACAGGCTGTGAGGGCCGAGGGGAGGCCTCAGGCCTCTCTGGCTCGGGGACCCAGCCCTGCGCTGACCAGCCCTGCCTCGTCCAGGCTACAGGCCCTCCTACGTTGCAGGTGGCCAGCCGCAGCGGTCCTCCTGCCTCGCCTCCACAAAATTCCTCCCTATCTGCTTCAAGTTCCTGTCGGGTCAGTACCTTCTTGGCCACCCCCCTGGTGGGCTCCCCTTCTGCCCCCCTGTGGTCTGCCCTCCATAACCAGGGCTCCCCGGGGCCATGTGGGTACCTGGGCAATGGCAGCCCTGTCCCCACAGATGGGCCCGTGGAGGACCGGTTGGCGACCACCGAAGACTTCCAGGGCCTGCAGGCAGAAGTGGAGGCTTGGGCCGTGGGCCTGGAGGGCTTGTCCAGGGAGCCTTGTGGGCAGCTGCTGGGGGCCCTCGGGCAGGTGCTGCGGGATGAGGCCGCCCTGCAAGCCCTGGATGAGTCGGTGAGAGAGCTGGGTGGGGCGTGGGGGGCGTGCAGGGGTGGTGGGTGGGTGGGGGGCGAGCTGGGGTGGGGTGGGGCGGGCAGAGCTGGTGCCTGCGCCCCGCCCCCACGCTCACCCGCCCGCCCCACGCCCTTACCCCCAGCTGGAGCACGGCCTGCGTGGCGGGCTTTTGGAGCCTCGGGATGGTCCGGTGGGTGCTGTCCTCGAGTGCCTGGTGTTCTCCTCCAGAAGGCTGGAAAAGAGACTTGCTGGCCCCGTCTTCTACCTGCTGCAAGCTCTAGCTGGTGAGGGGCTCTGGGGGTGGGACAGGCAGGGAGCAGGAATGTGGGCTTCCCTAGCTGGCCTTCCAGAACCCCCTCTCACCCAAGGTCTCTCCCCAGTGCTGAGTGCAACCCAGCACGTGCTGCTGGCTGAGGTGCTGGAGATGGGGGCCCTGTCGGGGTCGTTCAAACTGGTGAGTGGGCCCAGCTTGTAGGGGAGGGGCTGTGCCGGAAGTGCGGACCCAATGCATCTGGGCTGGGGTGGTGTGGGTGGTGCCAGAAGCCTGGGGGCCCCTCTGACAACCTCCCACCCTGTCCTGCCAGGTGGAGAGCCTTTTGGAGCAGAGCACCCCATGGCAGGAGCGCAGGGCCGTGTCCCTGCCGCACGAGCTCCTGGGGAGCAGCTGGGGCTCAGAGGCACCCACCTGGGTCCTGCTGGAGGAGTGTGGCCTTGAGCCACAGGTGGGCGCCCCCCAGGTGTGCTGGAAACCGGAGGCCCAGGGCTGTGCGAATGCGCTTTACGCCTGCCTGGCACTGCTATTCAGGCTGAGCCGGCTCTGCTAGCCTGCAGCCTGCCCGCAGGGCAGCTCTCTAGTCGGGGCAGAGCTCATGCTGCCAGGAGCCACACCCAGCCATGTGGGCAGCTCCCCACAAGACCTGGGAGTTGAGGAAAGACAATAAATGTGATGAACAAAGGGAAAATGCTCACTGAGCTTTTGAGGGGCCCTATGTCAGGGGTTGGGCAGCGATGGGGATGGTGCCTCCATATGGGGAGGGACCTGGGGGCTGAGAGCAGGCATCTCTCCCGTGGGGCTGAGGGGGCATTCCCTGTGCTGCACCGGATCACTCCAGAGTGAGCAGCCACATGGCCGGGCTCCTGGCGCCCTCCCCCAGCCGGCTGGCCTGGAAAGAATGGGACAGGGCGATTCCAGCCCTCAAGATGGTTCTCTGTCTGCCTCAGGGAACTTGAGAACGTACTGATGCAGGTAGCGGGGGCTGTCCTTGCCCTCCGGGGCTGCAGAGAGGACAGAGAAAAGGTGTACTGACAGGCAGACAGATCTGCACTCCTGGGGCTGCACTGGGGCCCCAGGGAAGTGACCCGAACCAGAGAAACTGGCCTTTGGGGTGTGTCTCATCCAAATTAATTCGCTCAAAGGTAAGAGTCTCTCGAGAGGAGGCCTCTGGGCCCCTGAGTCGCAGTCCCTGGGCCTTCGGCAGGGCTCAGAGCCTCCTTGGACCAGGGTACCTGAGCCTCCCTGGGAGGTGGGGGCAGGGGTGGAATGGCCCCACGTGCAAGAAGAGATAGTAACTGATTCAGCCAAGGAGTTATTCTCATCTTGGAGCTTGAACAGCCAGGAGAAATTTGCCTCTCCCCGTGGGAGCCAGTCTGCCATCCTCCGCTTGGCGGAAGGCAGGGGAAGCCGCACTCCCCTCCTGTCAGGCTCACTGCTGCCCTGCAGCCTCAGGACTGGCTAAAGAGAAGGGATGATCGGCCCGGCTGTGGTTGGGACATTAACCCCCGAGAAAACTCAGGATCAAGGCCAACAGTAAAATTAATATTAAAACAGAGGGTTTGGGTCTTCCCTGGTGGCACAGTGGTTAAGAATCCGCCTGCCAATGCAGGCGACGCAGGTTCGAGCCTTGGTCTGGGAAGATCCCATGTGCCGCGGAGCAACGAAACCCGTGCGCCACAACTACTGAGCCTGCGCTCTAGAGCCCGCGAGCCACAACTACTGAGCCCGCGTGCCACAACTACTGAAGCCCGCGTGCCTAGAGCCCGTGCTCCACAACAAAGAGAAGCCACCACATGAGAAGCCCGCGCACTGCAACGAAGACCCAATGCAGCCAAAAATAAATAAATTTATAATTAAAAAAAGAAAACAAAACCAGAGGGTTCCCCAAACATCCCAGATCCTGGTACAGAAACTGCTAGAAGGGACCTCCCTGGTGGCCCAGTGGGTAAGACTCTGTGCTCCCAATGCAGGGAGCCCGGGTTTGATCCCTGGTCGGGGAACCAGATCCTTCATGCATGCCGCAGCTAAAAGATCCTACATGCCGCGACAAAGATCACGAGTGCTGGACTAAGACCTGGTGCAGCCTAAATAAATAAATAAATGTTTAAAAAAGCAAAAAGAAACCCCTAGAAATCTACCCCTCACACAGGGAGAGGAGAAGCTGGACGCCTCTCAAGCCTGTTTGTGTTCACCAGGGCCCACGCCCCTCCTTTGGGAACCTCATTAGGGGGACTTGAAAGGCAAAACCAAGGGGGACAGGACTGGAAGAGCCTGGACAGCCTGGACACTCACAGACCAGCGATGCTCGCCTGGGAGCAGGGCTATGGAAGCACTGATCCACCTGGAGCCTCCCTGAGGATCCCAGCAGAGAAATCCCGGAGAAGGGTTACACTCCCAGGACAAAGCAACAGGCTCTAAGTGAACCTAACACCTGGCAAGCAGGGAGTCTAGCAGGGCTTCCAGCGATGGGGCAGGGAACCATGGCAAGGCAGTCTTGCACACAAGACTGATCATGCAAGAGAAGCCTGCACTCCAAATGGCCTGCTACAGGGAGGAGTACGGGCTCCCAGGCCTAAGAAGCCCAGGCATCATGGAGGTGTCGCGAGAAGAGGCGGGGTGCTGCCTGCCCGAGCCCTCATCTGAGGCTGGGCTCTCCTTTCCAGTGGGCATCACTGTGGGGGTTGCCACTAGCCTGCCCAGCTGTGCTCTGCAGTGGGACAAGCGTGTGCCTGGTGGGGGAAATGGGCATCAAATGCTCACCCAGCTTCTGGCTCCTCGGCTGCAAGCAGTGGGGGCCAGGCTTGCTTCTGCCCATGGGGGCTGCCACTGAGGTCCACCAGGCTCCTGCTGAGCCCAGGCCCAGACCCAGACCAAGTCGGGCGGCTGTGAGGGTGCTCCTCGTGGGCCCCACCTGCAGCCATGGAAGCTGAGGAGGGACCCCCAGGCCTGGGAGCTGGAGCCTCCTTGATGGGTGACAGGCTGAAGAACCCCCTGAGGACATTCCCACCAACCTCCCTTCCTTCCGTCCTCCTCTCCTTCACGGGCGTCTGACAGCCTCCTGGCCTCTCCAGGGTGTACTCCGATACATTTCTTGTAGTTTAATCCAGTTTGGGCATCTGCTTTGGAGAAGCCGAACCAATACCCCAAACCATACCCCTGGCTTCACACAGACCAGTGCCCTCGGTCCGAGCCTCCCCTGCCCTGGGAATGACCTACGAGGAGACCCCAACCCCTTCCTGCTGAGCCCCAACCCCATTGGCTCAGCATGCATAGGCCCAAAGCACAGCTTCTCAGCTCAGGGTGAAACCTGCCTGACCTTCCGCCCACACCGGAGCTGACCCAAACTCCTGGCTACGTGCTGTCTTCCTTGTAATCTTAGCCCGAGCCCGATCTCGGACCAGGCCCAGCGCATCAGAACCCAGCCTTGGCCCAGACCCAGGCCCCAGACAGACGCTGAACCCCTAGGATCTGTGTGTTTATTTTAAACGCTTTCCACAGGGATGGGCAGGACCCCAGCCTCCAAGAGGCTGTGTGAGTTGAGGCCTCCTCTGAGGAGGAGGCAGCATTGGGGGGGCCCTGAAAGGGCAAGAGGACACCTCAAGGTGGGCACTCCAGGTGGAGGAAGCTGCCCATCCAGGGTTTGGATGGATTGGGTCATGGCCTCGGAGCCGTCCTGAGGGGCCTCTTCCCCACACGTCCAGTCACGCCTCCATTCACCCCTGAGCAGGGTGCTGGGGTGCTGGCGCGACAGCTCAGTCTAGTGGGGTGCGAATGCTGGCAGCCCACACCTGAGCCCGCAGGTGTCATCTCAGGCCCGTGCTGTCCAGTGGGGAGGTCGGGGACAGCTTCCGGAGAAGGCCCAGGTGGGGTCTGACACGGTAAGTGCGGGGGAGGGGCAGGAACGGGGCCAGGCTGTGGGGCAGCGGGTGTGGACAGGAGGACAGATCAGTGCTTCTTGGCCAGGAACCTCAGAACCTCAGGCCAGGACATGGCCAGCCAGGAGTGGAGCATGTGACGAGGGGTGATGGGCTGCTGGGGTGGCCGGGAGGGCCCAGGCAGAGGGCGGCCTATCACGGCGCCGGCTCCCAGGGCTGTGCCAGCTTCACAGTGGCCCCCACCAGGCCTCGGCCCGGGAGGTCAGGTGTCATCCAGGCAGGGGGCTGAGGGGGGACAGATGGACCCAGGGGTGTACGAGGCAAGAGGCTGAGGGTGAAATGGTGCTCCGTCAGAAGGTGCGTGCCCCGTCTAGGTCGTAGGGCTGTCTCGGGGGGTGAGCTCCCGGAGAGGGGTCTTTGTGGGCAACAGGCCTTGCATGGCTCCGGGGGGCAGGCATTGGTGCCCAGCACCGAGCCCAGGGTGCCCCTCAAGGGGGGGCCTCTTCTGCAGATCTGCCCCTGCCAAGACTGGCCACAGAGCGGTGGGGTGCCAGACAGCACCCTGGCTCCCACCCGGAAGGCGGGCCAGTCGGGCTCAGCCTGGTCCTAAGCAGCCCCAGGGGCCAGCAGGGCTCCGGTGGTGCTGGAACGGGCTGTCTCTGTAGACTGGTGGGGGCCGGGCAGGGTGGGAGTGGCACCGGCCCAGGCAGGGAGGGTGCTGTGCCTGAGCCAGCAGCACCACCTGCTGGGTGGACGCTTGTGCCGCTGCCACCACAGTGGGCGCAGGGTCACTCTGCAGCTGCCCCAGGTCTGTGGGGACAGGGCAGTTCATGGCGCGGGAGGGCCCCAGAGCCCCAGCTCTCCATCCATCCATTCCCATCCGCTCCGCCCTAGCACCCACCACCTTTCCGGAACCCCATGCCCCGGTGAGTCGGGTCCTCACCCTGGAACAGATTGTCTAGCAGGTCCTGGTTGATGCGGCTCGGGCTTGAGTGATGGACCAGGAAGCCTGGACCAAAGCAAACCCTGAGTGCTGGCCCCGTGCCCACAGCAGGGAGGGGCTGGCCCAGCTCCCAGAGCCCTAGGTGCAAGGAACAGTGTGACACCAGGACTGCCTTACCCATGAGCACAACAGCTGCCCAGCGCAGGGAGTCCTGTGGGCTCCGCAGGTAGCCCTGGGTCTGGCTCAGGAAGCGGGGCATGTGACTTGGGTACCACTGAACCTGGGGACGGAAGGGCTCATGGCAGGACAGGAGGGCCAATTCTGCATGGAAAGGAGGCCGCAGAGGTGAGTCCAGGGGCTGAGGACCCTGGGGATCCCCCGGGACATGGCATCAGGACCTGAGGCTTTAGACCTGCCACCACCTTGACTGGAAGGGTGGGAAGACTCAGTTTGGGGGGAGTGGCCCTGGTGGACCAAGCGGACAGCTGACCATATACCCCATCATTGTCACTGTCCTCCCCCAACTGACCAGGCGGTGGCAGATGCGGCTTAGGGCCTCAGGGCTGTTGCAGTGGGCCACGGTGACCATCTCCTCCAGTAGGACCCAGCGCAGGGCCTGGTCACAGAGGGTCAGGGTCCACTCTGAGCTCTGGAACAGGGGAAGGGAGCAAGGTTAGGAGTCCAGAAAGTGGCAAGAAATGGCCTGGGAGGGGGAGGGTGGTCAGGATGAGGGGTGGAGGCGCAGGCGGCCCAGGAAAGACCAGGAACCTGGCTGCGCATGTCACCTGCACCTGAGGTCCTGGGGGAAGTCCCCGACCTGTAATCTTTGGAGAGGCAGCTGTCGTGGGAATGGGTGGGGCTGGATGGAGACAGCCATGGGACAGTCTTGGGGGGACTGACCTCATTGGTGTCCCGGCTGGGGTCATACAGTCGCAACAGCAGCGGCACGAGACTGCAGCACCTGCTTCCGCAGGGGGCCGCCGAGCCCCACCCGGAGCCCCACCCGGAGCCCTCCCCGGCCGCGCCGCACCAGCGTCCCGAGGAGCCCGACCGCCGAGGCGCGGACCGAGTCCCGGGCCTGCATAGCAGGGCGCGGTCAGGGCGGAGCCAGCAGGGAGAGGGTGTCCGGAGGGCTGCCGTCTGGGGGCGCGATCTGGGGGCCAGGAGCGGGGCCTGGTTGAGGAACCCTGGGAGAGCCTGGGGAGGGGGTGGTGACGGCGGGAGGGGCGGGGCCGGAGGGGCGGGCTCACGTCTTCCAGAAGCGGTGGGAGGAGCGGTCCCAGCTCCGCGCCCACGAGCCGCACCGGCGCCCGCGGCCGCATCAGGACCCTCCGCAGCGTCCCCAGTGCGGCGCCCACGAGCCGCGCGTCACCCTCGCCCAGGGCGCCCAGGAGCGCGGGCAGCAGCGTGCTCACGTGACGCACCTGCAGGGACGGGGACTCGTGGGAGACCCCTCGCAGACCCCGCCCAGACCCCGCCCAGTCCTGCCCCTCACCTTCCTTCGTGCGCCAGGTGGCCGAGGCCCAGCAGGCCCAGCCAGTGCACGGTGGGCTCGGGATCGCCCTGCCAAGCGCAGAGCCGCTCCAGGATGACCTCCTCCCGCAGAAGCCGTGTGGTGGGCCGGCTCTGCAACAGCTGGGCGGGGGGACACAGGGTCAGCACGCTCGCGTTCCCGTGCCGGCCCGGCCGCTTAGGGGCCAAGTCCATGGTCACCCCTCACCACGCATCCTGGAAGCGGGCTCACTCCGGTGAAGAAGGCCATAGCCGTGAGGCGCTGTGCGTCTTCCGCGCTGCGCAGCTGGGGCAGCAAGTCCGCGAACAGGCCTCGCAGGTGGTGGTCGGCGTGCGCCACCATGGCACTGTGATGAGGCGGAAATGGGAGCTCTCCCTCCGCTTCCGGCCTCGCCCCTCACGAAGCCTCTACCCAACAACCCCCATGCCCCTGCCTCTTATCCCATACCCCTGCCCTGCACCTGGCCAGCAGCAGGACACCCTCCAGGTGGGTGTGGGCTCCCACCAGTCTTCTCCAGCCTCCAGCCTGCTCCATGCACGTGACCACCATGCAGCAGGCATCCCCAGTGAACAGGGCCTTCAAGGCCTCTCCTGTGCAGCTGGAGGGGGGTGGGCAGCAGAGGAGGGCACTGGCCCAGCCCTCACTCCCCCCGGTGTGCACCCCTCACCTGGCGTGGCTGTACGGTAGCCCTTGGTGGGATGGGGCCCAAACCTTGGGGATGTCAGTGGGGCATGGGTCCCGGGCCAGCTCATGTAGCTGTGTGACCAGCACAAGGAGAAGATGCGGGTAGAAGCCCCATGTGGCACCCACGCAGCCGGACACAGCCAGCATCTCCCCGAGGGCACGAGTGGCCTATGGAACAAGGGGCTCATTCAGGCTCAGACACCGCAGACAGGGCGAGGACAAAGCTTCTATGCTTGAGAGACGTTATAGATGGGTGTGACTCAGGTGAGAGCCTGCTGCCCCCAAACCCCTGAGCCCAGACTCTCCTGTCCCCTTGGGCCAGGGCCAGGGGAGTCCCCTGGCAATGCCACCTACCGCCAGTGCCTCCAGCTGGAATCTGGCTGAGCCCTTTAGCACCCAGAGCAGCTGCACCAGCACCTGCCCATTCACGCGCTGGTTCTGGCTCAGGCCACGCCAAAGCCCGGCTGCCGCCCTGGGGGCACGGGGCGTGTGAGCCAGAGCCTGGCGCTGGGATGCCGGGAGTCTCCAGGTCGGGGAGGCGGCCACTAGGACTCCAGCAGGAGGAGGGGCAGGTAACCAACCCCGCGATCCCAGGGAAACAAAATAAGTGGCATCTGTGCAGTGACCACAACGGAGCCAAGTCTGCAGGATCAGCTGCCCGGCAGGGACCACCCAGAACCCTGTTTGGCCAGTAACGGTGAAACAAGCCTGGCATTATGAACAATCACCGTAGAGAATAAAGCCACAGATAGCTTCTCCTGGGGCAGACTAACCAAAGAGCCATGGGCGTTGGGGTGCAGCAGCCACCTGGCTTGCTCAGAAGCACACCCCGCCAGGCTGGGCTGCAGGAGAGGCCTGGAGAGAGAAGGCAGGCCCCAAGCCTGGAACCCAGCACTGAGGACCCTCAGTGGATGAGAGGCAGGAGCGGAAGGCAGGGAAGGCCCTGCCCCGCCATGACCCACCCCACCCTGGGCCAGTCTCCACCACAAGCTGGAGAGGGGAGGGAAGCTGTGTCGGGGCCGCGGGGGCGGGGCGGGTTACCGGGCCGGGGGCAGTGAGTGCGGCAGCAGTGGACACACCACGCCCCGAGGGTGCTCCAGGGCCAGTGCGCTCAGCACCTGCAGGGCCGCCCGCTGGGGCCTCCACTCCGCCAGGCTGGGCACCTGTGCCAGCAGCCCTCGCACAAGGCCGCGCACCTGGCGTGGAGGGGCGGACGTCAGTAGTCCAGTCTCCGTGACCCCTGCGCGTTACCCTCAGTACCCCGACCAAGCAGCTGCGGCCTGAAGGGGGCTGCTCCCTCTAGCCCCCAGCCCTGGAGGGGACCAGGCGGGAGACTCCAAGGGCAGGGAGGGGACGGGGGCCAACCTGGTCCTCCAGCCGCTCCCCCCGGGCCTCCAGGGCTGAGGACAGGGTGAGTGCTGTCACCCGCGTTCCCGCAAAGCCAGCCTCGTCCAGACAGGCAGCCGTGTACGACGCCAGGTCTGCGAGGGCCCCCTCTTCCAAGGAACTCTGGGGAGTCTGGGAGTGGGGGCGAGGGGAGACTGTGAGACCCCCTTGCCTCTCCCACTCTCTTCCTCCCCACCCCGTCCCAGCTCTTGACAAAACCCCCGTGCCTTTCTGTTTTTTTCCGGCTCCGTCCCCCTTTACCCCCCAGGCATCCCTCCTGCTCACCAGACGAAGACCGGGTCCCTCAGGGGCTGGCTCCTGGGCAGGAGGCTGGGAGAAGGGTTCACTGCCAGCTGGGGAAATGGCGGCTGCCTGCCCAGGCTCTACCCCGCGTTCAAGCTCAGGTTCGGGCTGAGGGCCGGTGGAAGGGGGTCCCGGGGGCTGCCCCTGGCTGGCCCGGATCCCTTCAGCCAGAGCCGTCAGGGTTAGGGCTCCCACGGGAGCCCCCTGGGCCCAGTCCCACGCGCCCCCAGCCATGGCCGCCGCACACACTGAGCTGCTCAGCCGGGCTCAGCCTGCAGCACCTGGCACTGGTCCTCCCAGAAGCCGTGCCCAGGCCTGACCTAGAAGCAGGCCCCAGGCAGGCGGGCCCAGGGACAGGCGTGGCAGCGTGTGGGTGCATGTGCGTGTGCATGCTCTGTGGGGGCGGGAGGTCGGGGAGCCACACGGGGGTGTCCCCAGGTGTGGTGCCCGCGGGGGCTTTTGAAGGGTCTTCCCGCCCAGACTGTTGTTGGTGAGTGGCCAGCCTAGGCTCTGCCCACCAGGACCTGGGAAAAGGGCAAGGTCCCTGGGAGACAGTGGATCTGCAAGGGGAGGGGGGGAAGGGTCCCTGACCCTGACTTCCGACCCGTCTGGGCAGGGAATCCTGGGCAGGTGTAGACAGCTCTGAGGAGGCCCCAGCAGGTTTTAGAAGTCTGGGCCCAGCCCTGAGCTGAGGCCTCGCCTGATTCAGCCCTAAAGAAGCAGTCAGGGCCAGGCTGCGCTTGCGGCCGGGGGCTGGGCTCTCCTCTCTGCATCCTGACCCGGCCGGACATCCCGGGCATGGGGATGATTCGGAGCAGCCCTGGGGGGGAGCCGGAAGCAAGAGGAGCTGCCCTGTGCCTCCCAGGTGCCCTTGCAGGTGACTGACGTCACTGGATGGATCACGGTGTGTGGGGGAGTGTCTGGGTCCTGGCACTGAGGAAGTGCAAAGCTCAGAAGTGGTGACCTGTGGGTACCTGGGGCCTGGTGCGTGTCCTGATGTGTGTGTGGCGGCGGCGGGCGGAGTCTGTGTCTCTCTCCAAGCCTCCTGCTCCCCAGGGCTGGCCTGACCGGGCCTCTGCCCCAAATCCCCGCTGTCACCCTCACCCAGCAGCGCAGCGGCCACTGCCCAGCCTGGTCCAGGGGAGCCAGAAGAGCTGGTCTGGCCAAATACCTGGGCAGGCAGAAGTGCTCCGGGAAGCACCCTGGACAGTCGGCATTCCCCCTCGTCCTGGCCTGCTTGTGTCCCTCACCCAGGTGGGAGAAGCCCAGGCCCCGCCCTCTATCCTGCAGGGCCTCAAACCTCTCTCCTGAGTGGCTCCTCCGGAGCCAAAGCCGGTGGAGACCTGACGAGCCTGCTCACACAGAGGCAGGGCCAGCCCAGGACCCTGGCCAGGTGCCCAGAGCTGAGCCAGTCCCTGCTCCCTCACCTTCACCAGCTCTAGTGCAGGCAGGCCCCGAGCCCTCCTCTCCTTTCCCAGGACTGCAGGGGCGGGAGCTGGGTCCCCAAGGCCCAGGCCTAGTCCGTGCCGTGACAGATGCCAGGGCCGACAGGGAGCCAGATGGGTGGAGCCCAGGGGTACAGGGTCCCACAGAGCTGGCAGCAGCAGTGGCAGGGGACACCCAGGCCTCTCCTTGGCTGGGGAAGCTTGAGGTGTCCCACCGAGCCTGCCCCCGCCCGGGGGGAATCCCGGAGCCCCTCCATCTGGCACTTCATCCCCAGCCCGCCTCGAGTCTCTAGCATGGAGAGGTCTTCCAGTAACCAACCCCCCCAGCTCCTAGTTGGGCACCAAAGCCCCCTCCCTTTCCCCACAGCCCTACCCTGTCCTGCCCCGGATCTGCTCCTACAGTCCAGCTCCCCAGGCCTCAGATACCGACCCCCACCCCACCGGCCTTAGCCAACCTCAGGTCTCAGCACGGGGCTGCCTACCTGCCCTGGCTGGGCTGGGGTCTTCCCTGGGAGGATGAACCCTCATGCTGATTCCTGACTCCAGCCCACCCTGGGAAGCCCTGGGGGTCCAGTGAGTGGCAGGCTGGGTGAAGAAATGACACATGACAAGCTGTGGGGATAGTGAGTGACTCATGTTCATTTCAGGCAGCTCCCAGCAGGGGATTCTCAGAGGGCACCTCTGCACTCAGTCTGTCCACCAGGGCCCGGAGCTTCTCAGACAGCGCCACCTGCAGGGAGGAGGGGGGGGGGGACGATGGGTGGCCGTGGGGGGAGAGAGGGCACAGGGCGGGTTGATGATGTGGGCCCTACACCCACCTGGTACAGCGCAGGCTGCTCGAGCCTCCTGTGGGCAGGACTCAGACGGCTCAGGGACTGCTGGGCGAAGGCTCTAGATTCGGCCAGAGATGGGAGGGGCTCACACAGCTGGGGGGAAGAGGGAGGAAGGGGCTGGCTCGAGATCAGGTGTCCGAGCTTGATTTGAGTTGAAGGTGCAGGCTAAGGGGGTGGGTGGCTAGGGGCGGTCACCTGTCCCTGCTGGACCCAGAGTCGCAGCAGCGGCTCCACGTGCACCGGCCTCACGGTACAGGACTCCTGGGTCCCTCGAGGCCAGACTCTGAGCTCCTGGCCAGCCTGGGGAGGTGGCTCCTCTGCTAACTGCAGCACGTCTAACAGCAGAGCCCCTGTGTGGGTGCGCATGTGAGGGCGCCAAGCATGCACGGGGCCTGGGGCCTTGAGCTCAACTGCGGAGGGTGGGCGGGGCCTCACCATCGGAGCCCAGGAGCCGGAAGGCAGCCTTGCTTCCAGGCAATGTCTGCTTCTCGGGGTCCTCGGTCAGCTTCATCCGCGGCTGGCCTCCCACGGACACCAGCTACAGGGACAGGGTGCTGAGCTATCTGGACCCTTCTCCCCAGACCCATGGTCCATCCCCAGCCCATCCCCACTGGGCCCCGGACTCTTGTCTCCACCTTGTAGACACAGCCCAGGGAAGGCTGGCGAGGGCAGGTGACCACGCTAGTACCGATGCCGATGACGTTCACCTCACTGCCCTGGGGGGGAGGGGGAAATGAGCTCGGCCAGCATCTGCAGGCCCAGGGCCCCCCGAGCCACCCTCTGGGCTGCCCCTGCCCCGCCTACCTTCTGGGACAGCCTGGCCAGCTCCTGCTCATCAATGTTGTTGCTGACAGCAATGGGGATGGACTCCAGCCAGGGCACCCGGAACCTGTGACGGGGGCAGCCCTTAGACGCTCCTGACTCACCCGGCCCCCTCCCAACCCAGTCATGCCGTCTCCCCGCCACCTGATAATCTGCCCCCAGCCACACTGGCTCTATGGGCCCCTGAGCGAGCCCACCCCAGCTTCCTTGCCAAGGCTGCAGTACCTCTACTGAGGTAGCAGCATATCAGAGAGCCTCACGGTGGGAGAGGCACGGTCCCTCCCTCACTCTGTCCCATCCCAATATTCCTGAACCGAAGGGGATCTCTCAGAAGGCAAAGCCCCTCCCAGGGGGACTCACTGGGCCGCCACTGTTCGGAAGACGCCACGCGTCTCCTGAGCCTGCTGAAGCAGGTCGCCGCTGTCCAGCCTCACTCCCACTGCCTGGTAGCCCAGCTCCTCCAGTGCCAGGGCTACAGCCAGGAAGTTGGGGAGACCACTCCTGCAGGTGGGGACATGGGGGCAGGGGGTCTGCTGCTGCTCCGCTGAGCCCCCCCGGAGGATGCCCGGGCCTCACCTCTGCACACTGTAGGTGTCCAGCAGGCCCTGGAAGGCCCGGGGAAAGGCCAGGGCATAGGCCACAAAGGCCGCCCGCTCACCCCGGTGTGGCTCCTGCACCCCCAGCCCCAGGTGGCCACACACACGCTCCAACCACGTCTCCACGCAGGCGGCCAGGTCCACCCTGGGGCCCTGACCAGCCGCTGGAGCCAACATCTATGGAGAAGGGTTGGTGAAGGATGGGGGACCCAGAGCGCAGGGTGGGGACTGGTTCAACCCCAGCAGAGAGTCTGAGCCACCTGCCTGCCAGCTTCCCAGTGCCGCACTGAGACCACCTGCCCGGCGTGGCTTGGGTGGGCCAGGCGTGGTATCTGCCTGTGCACAGAGCAGGGACTGGCCTCTCCTGCTCCCCGGGAAGGGCTCGGCTTGGGGGGTCTGCCCTCTGGAGTCCAGCTGGGGGGACATGGGTACTGACCGGGTCAGGGGGCACCTCGGTGCCTGAAAAGGAGGTGATGAAAGAGTGCGCCAGGGTCCCGGCCACTGGCACGCCCCGCAGCTGTCCTGCGAGCATGTTGCTGCTGCCATCGAAGCCTGGGGTCAGGGCATCAGGCAAAGTTGGGGGACTTCAGGCACTGAAGGGGGTCTCAGGGCTGGCCTCCTCCTCCCCCAAACCAGGCCTCCGTCTCCTGGCCCTCACCGCCCAGGTAGCTGTAGGTAGAGGCGGTAAGACCCCCGTCGGGGCCCTGAGCCCGCCGAAGCCCCAGCTCCAGCAGCCGCTTCTCCGGCCCTGCGATCAGGCGAAGCCGCGCGGCGTTCGTGGCGATGAGGCTGCAGGAGCAAGGGGGCAGGGGACTCGCAGTGACGGCCGGGAAGCCACCCAGAGCGCTGCCTCTCCCGAGGACCCGAGCAGCGGGAGCCGGAGGCCCCTGCCAGGACCCCGGCTCAGCGCTCCGCCCCCAGGGGCCACGCCCCACGGGTCCGGGCCCGGAAGTCAGCGCTCCTTCCCGGAGAGCCCAGGCTTCCGGCCTCGGGCGGGAGGCGGGTGTCCCGCCCCAGGCCCCACCTGGCGCCCCGGGCCCCACCTGGCGTAGCCGACCAGGCAGAGGAGCGGCGTCTCCAGCAGCTGCACCACCAGGAGCGGCCCGGACACCTGCAGCAGCGGCACCTGCGGGGCGGGCTGTCAGCTCGGCGCCACCCGGCCCTGCTCTGGCCCACCCCCCGTGCCCCGCTCCCCCGGCACTCACGCTGGGGAAGGCGAGGGAGCCCTCGGGCAGGGCCCGCACCGTCACCCCGGAGCAGTCGAGGGCACGAAGATGCTGGAAGAACGCGGGGTCTGTGTCTGGTGGCAGCACCGAGGCCAGGAACTGCACGTCTGGGGGCGACAGAGGCCGTGGTGGCGAGGGCTCGCCGGGGCGGCCGGGCCCGGGGGCTGCCGGGGGCTGCCGGGGGTGGGGGGCGGGGGGGCGGCTACCTGCGTCCGTCAGGCGGAAGGCGCGCACGAAACGCACGCAGTCGCGCAGCCCCGCGGCCAGGGCGAAGGCTCCGCCGAACGGGCAGCGGCGGAAGAAGAGCTCGAACTCGGCCGCCTCCTGCGCCCGGCCGGCGCGCCAGTAGCCCAGCGCCATGGTGGCCTGGTACAGGTCGGTGAGCAGCGGCCGCGCCGCCGCGCGCCCCTCGGGGTCCTGCTCCGCCGCCATCGGACTCTGGCCGCTGCCCTGGCGCCCCGGACTCTGGCCGCCCCGCCCGCGTGACGCCGCGCTGGCCAGGGCCCGCCCCGCCAGCGGGTTGGGACACCGTGGAGCCACTGCCTTTCCTGGCAACCAGAACCGTCAGGGCGGGCCGCTGGCCTCCGGACGCTCTCTGAGCGGTCCCAGGAGCCGGACCGTAGTTCGAGGTGGGGACTTGTGCTCTCGCTGGTCAGCCCAGCTCCCCCTGGCCCCTTGGAGCATGGTCTGTCCTGCCCCAGGCCGCGCGGCCAAGTCCGGGGAGCTCGGGGAGAGGGTGGAAGAGGGCAATTCGAACCCCACGTCCAGCTGGACTCCATCCTCGCCCGCCCAGAAGCCATCCCAGGCCTGGGCAGGGCAGCTTGCGGCCGGCACCACACCAGGGCAAGGCCCACGCGACGCTATTCGGGTAGCAGGGTGGTGCCGACAGAACGAGGGGGCCGCTCATCCACCGCCAGCTGGCACCGAAGGCTCTCGGATCTTACACGCTAAACCCCACATGACTCTGCGGGCCCTTTGAGGCCACCAGCTCTGACCAGAGTAACCACAACCCACTCTTTCTCACCAGCCATGCTGGATCCAGGGCAAGAACCACTAGTGACACAAGTCCTGCCCAGACTGGGGCGGGGGGTGGGGGCCCAGGCAGGACAGTGGGCACAATTCCACAGGGCAGTGTGTCATGGGATCTGTCAAGGGCCCAGGTCTCCAGCAGGCAGCAGGGGCCTCGGGGCTAAGGGAAGAAGTCCAGCCTCCTTCCTAGAAATGGTCGGCTACCCGGCAGGGTTTTGAACAGGTCAGCCCCGATGGGGCACGTGACTGTAGTCACAACAGCAGGGCCAGGACGGCCGCTGGGGCCTCTTCCCTGGATAGTTCCGGACTGGCACTTCTGTACCCATGGGGACGGCTCAGCGAAAGGAAGCAGAATGGGGATGGTGGAAGACTGGGACGCCTCCCACAGTGAGGGAAGCAATGTACACTGTTAGAGGTAGACCTGGACGTCCCACTTGCAACTGAGACGTGAGTGAGTCAGGGGAACAGGAGGGGCAGAGGGGTGGGTCACACGGCCACAGGAGGGCTGTGGAGAGACCCAGAATGGGGAGAAGGGCAGTGGCCACTGGTGCAGGAGCAGAGCGTGAGATGCCCACCCAGTGTGAGGCTGGGGGCCTGGCAGAGTGCGGCTCACTGACTGCACCCGCCCGCAGGGCCCAAACCAGGACAGGAGCCAGAGGGCTGGAATCTCAGTCTTTATTGGCTGCAAGGCTTCACACGCTCAGGCCAGTGCCGGGGCTCAGATCTTGTTGAAAGCAGCAATGTCAACGCTCTGCACCTGTGGAGAGGGAGGCTGGTGGTCACACGGGGCCCTGTTTCCCAAAGGCCCAAGCACCCATGTGCCTGGCCAGAGGCTCATTTGGACACCCCAGGCCCCTACCCTGTGTGGGCCCCTCACTCACGTGCTCCTCGAACTTGGTGATCTCCTCTTCCAGGAGGTCCGTGCCCACCTTGTCGTCCTCCACCACACACTGGATCTGTAGCTTGTGGATGCCGTAGCCCACGGGCACCAGCTTGGAGCCCCCCCAGGTCAGCCCATCCAGCTGGATGGAGCGCACGCAGGCCTCCAGCTGGGCCATGTCCGTCTCGTCATCCCACTGGGGAGGAGAGGGGAGGAGGGC